TTTTTTTTTTTTTTTTTTTTTTTTTTTCCTTCTTTTCTTTTGGCCAACCGCTCCATCTATTGGTGGGGAGCAGCACCTGGTGCAAACCGGGTTCAGCATCCTATGTAAATTGTAAGAATGAAACTCAAGCATTGAAAAAAAGGAAGGGGAAGATTAACTCTTCAGCCCCCTAGGGGACCGCCAAATAAAACCTGCAAAACCAGCAACCTAACCCCCCAAATCCAGTTTGATATAAGCACAGATTAACCCCCTCTAAACCATACCATTGCAAGTCGACTAAGGCTAGCTCATAAGGGGGAAAAGGGTCTGAAAAAAAATCAGGAGATCTGAGAGCAGTCCCTAGTTGAGGCGTGAACCCATTCCGGAAGACGAGCTGGATGTCCTTCCTGGGAGGATCCTCTGTTCCTTCCGCCCCTGGCCATTGCACCTCCCCCAAGCTCTTCTCCTTAGATCCCCCCAGCCAGTCCGTCGAAAAATTTTGAATTGTTTGTTTAACGTCATTTTTCCATAAGAACCTGCATAGTTTGGATTTAGTATTTGACCAATGTGTGTTCTGTTTGAAGAAATTGGACTACGTAATCACCAAGTTCAACCCCTTCTACTAGAGTTACCCCTTCTCTCTCTTGGACATAACGTTTGTACCATACAGTCCAGAAAATGGCTTTGCGTCTGATCTCAAAGGAATTGGTTTGAAAGTTTGTGAGTGAGAACCAACAACCCTTTATCTGGAAAGAGAGAAGGGAGGTCTATCATATTAGAGTGATGGAAGAGGAGAGGGGTTGGAGGGCTTACCGGCCAATGATCCAGATCGAGGACTTACCCTTCGATCCCGATGAGTGGACATGGTCGGGGAAGAGTCGGGAAACGCTGAAAGGAAGAGGTAAGGCGAAACCGGTAGCACTATTTACTAAAACCAAGACAGTATATCGAATGCTCAGACCGAGGCGCAGACTGAGAGATGTGGTAGAGGACAGATGGCAACGACATCTCAACATAGACAGAGGCCTGCTCAAACCCATCCAGTGGTTCAGAGAATAAGAGGCCGGCCAAAATTTCTGCCTTACAATGGCAGATTGTCCATCAGTGCCTGCCGACCAACGACTGGCTGATTGACCACACGCATTTGGGATAGCAAGGAAGGGCGCTTCCCTGGTGCCGAGTATGCCTCCATAATTTCCCTGGCAAAAAGCGCCCTGAGACAGTGGAGCACATCTTCTTGCAGTGCCCCACAGCTGTATTACTGTGGCGATGGTGGGACAGGATTTGGCGGCATATTGTACCGGGCTTG